AAACATCAGCAGTCCCAGTGAAGATCAAAAGCTTAAATGCCCATGGCTTATATACATATAGATATGAACGGCTTTAGACTTAACATCTAAGTTCTTCTACAACGCAGGCAGAGCTACAGAATAAATAGGTATATACAAAAGGCAGCATAAATCTAATATCTACAGATACATTCATAAAATCTTTCCTCAGATATTTCGAGTCTTAGCGCACAACGAGCTACTGTATTACGAGCATTTTTGAAAAAGAACAAAGGATCTTTTTGACAACAGTACATTAAGAACTATTTCTAGGATTCCAACATATTACGGTTTCCAGACAGAGTCAAAATTCCATAAGAAAGCTCATAGCTTACTTCGGAGAATAATTAATTTATACAGTCTGTCCAATATGCTAAAATATGTATACTCGCTTTACTAACTTGTGCCAATTCATTCAAGATACAAAAATCGGAATTCGAACTTTACAGAATTTGGGAGGAACTTTTCAAATAGCTTGCCTTTTTTTATATTTATATTTTTAAATGGTACAATAGCTTCTAAATAAGTCCGATGGTAGTTTTTCTCTATTTTGAATTACTTATATAGTTGTGAAATTAATGGAAGAACCTCCAAATTGTCTGACAGCTGTAACTTTTATACCTGTGTCTTTTGAATGTTAGATCTAATTTGAAGGTATTAGATCTAATATGAAGTCATTCATTTTAATTATGGTGATGTCCTCTCATAAAAACGATTCCAATTTTTAACCTGTATGATATATCGCTGCTGGAAGCTTTCTTTATCCCATTCTATCCAAGAAGTCTTACGAAGACTTCGAACCACTGATAAATTTTGAGAGAAAAAGTTAAACTCAGGTTTCGTAAGACTATTCTGAAGTAAAATGAGCGTTTACAACAGCTTGGATTATTCGAGAAAAAGAATTTATTAATATCATATAAAATAGAACGTTGGGTTGACCAATTTTTATGGCGATATCATCCTACTTCAGTGAAGTAAGCGGATACCCTGACGAAAGGTATGCAGATATACATATGTATACTGAAATTTATTTTGACTGTGCAATTGCGAAACTGGAGAAAAACGCTTATTATGGCTTAACCATAATCTAGCTAATTCGTCTCCTTCGGAGTTGCTTTGTTACCAAGTTACTTATAGTGACGCAGCGTAATAACTTAACCAAGTTTTCCAGAAAAACATAATATATTTACTTTATTCATCACCTTAAGCTAATTAACCCTTCGCGCGCACTCTTCGCTAAAGAGCTTACCATATCCGCTTGATTTTGGCATTACATAAACAAAGTGGCGAAAATCAATAATTCGCCATGCAACAACGGAACAAACATAACGGTATATTAATATATCGTACACAAACGACCGAAATGGTTGTTTGCACATTTCCAGTTCATTTACCACCCGCTTATCGAATGAAATTAAACCGCAAGGCGAAGTGGGCAAGGAATTTGATCATATAATATAACATGGCGTACGCACAAATAATAGCAAGAAATTTGGATATATGGAAAGTGCGCACTAAATTTAGTAGGAAACTATTTATGCTTATGTATGAGTGTGTGCATGCACACATATACACCCACTCATACATTTTTTACTTTTGCCCCGCCGAACGCGTCTGCTGTGGCGCTTTACACGTTTTACGCAACAGAAATCTCTTTCAAAGTACACCAGGTGGCCCCAAAAAGCTGTTGGCCGAGCTAGTGTTTACTCACATACAGAGATAATACAAACAAGGCGTCGGAATAAAAGATGCGGCGCATAAAGAAGATATAAACGCAATTGCGGATTTTCTAAATGAGCCAAAGCCGTTGGTGATTAAAAGCAGGTGGAAATTAATTATTTGTAAATGTAAACGTATGTATGTTTATATGAGAACATATATTCTATTACTTTCAGTTGGCTGGCTTTTTGCTCGGTGCACATATTAATTAGCGATTTTCGCCTTAGATTTGCAACCATTTAACTGCAATAATTTTAAAAAACCGTAAAGTGGATTTGTTTTCTTAAATAAATATTTGTTTTGTAGTAATTCCTAAAAACTCACGCGCACATTTTTTGTACTACCAACTTTTTCCAAGTTTGCTCTTTGCAAACATTTTAAGAGAATATGATTAAAAATATTTATGCACACATGTAACTATTACAACCTCGCATACGAGTGCCGTTCGATAAATATGGCATACCAAAAAAAATCGAAATTTTTGGAAAAATGTCGAATTATTTCTAGTATATTGTCTCCTTAGAACTTGATAAATTTATCCCAGCGATACTCCAACTTCTATAATTAAGTAGGCCTCCAACACACCTATTCGGGTAAATGGAATTACTAACGAACTCGGAAAGGCATACGAGCACAGGAGGTATAAATCGATAAAATCGTAAATGAATCACAATCAAATTTGGCATTTTATTAAGGTTTATTATAGTTCATAGTCAATTTTTTTTTTTAATTTTTGGAAAAACTTTTGGGAATTTCATTAATTCACACATTTTTACCAACGTAAACGGTTTAAAGTCAGCTGGAAAGTCGAAAATCACTATATAGGATATATTAGGGGCAGAGAAAGGTCTGGAGGTTTGTTGCATTAACCTTTGGCATTGCTCAGGTATACACAAGTACATTTATAAATAAATAACTTACCATACACACTGACCGACATATTCGGAGTAATTCGTATAATTCACATATTTTCGGCTAGATATATGTTAGTGTGTTTAATATTATAAGTTCAATTAATTTTTCTAAGATATCTTACATATTGACCGATATATACGGTATAAAACCAACCGGAAGTTTGAAAATTTTATACTATTAGCTATATAAGAGATATGGGTAGTATTGCACCGCTTTTATCTATTTCGGAATTATTCGATTGACATGAATTTTATTTGTCTTTCAATAAATCGATTGTGGTACGAGCTGTGTGACATGTTGCGCCGTCTTGTTGGAACCACAGCTCCTGGACATCATGGTTGTTCAATTCAGGAATGAAAAAGTTAGTAATCATGGCTCTAAACCGATCACCATTGACTGTAACGTTCTGGCCATCATCGTTTTTGAAGACGTACGGACCAATGATTTCACCAGCCCATAAAGCGCACCAAACTGTCAGTTTTTCTGGATGTAACGGTGTTTCGATATACACTTGAGGATTAGCTTCACTCCAAATGCGGCAGTTTTGTTTGTTGACGTAGCCATTCAACCAGAAGTGCGTTTCATCGCATCATACGATAAAATGAATGTAGTGCGCGATACGTCTTCCGCACAGAACCATTATTTTCGAAATTAAATTGCACTATTTGCAAGCGTTGTTCAGGCGTAAGTCTATTCATGATGAACTGCCAAACCAAAGTGAAAATAAATCACTTCACAGCTGTTAAATCGGTCGCCATCTTGAACAGTAATGCCAACTTAAAGTTCTATACCTCGAAAAAACACCCTTTATTATCCCGATACATCCATTAATGGTTCATTGGTATACTGAAAATTGAAAGAATCAGTTGGAATTTACAATTATTTTATATAGACATGGTTGTACTCCGATTTCGCCCAAATTCGTACTGCAACGTAGGAATGCCATAAGGTCTATACATGTTATTCGGTACCTGGGGCTTAAACACTTTAGGTTCGGTTCGGATAATTTTCGGTCATAAGGTGGCACACTTCCGAGGCATCATGTAAAGTTATATCCCGATATATTAATTGGTGCTTTATTTGTATACTGGAAAGTGAAAGAATCAGATGGATTTTAAAACTGCGTTATATGAGAAGTAGGCGTGGTCGTAGTCCGACATCGTCCATTTTCACACTGCGATATAATAATGTTAGAATTTATCATTAGTTTTATGTGATACAAATAATCGTTAGATGAACAGAACTATTATACTCTGTAGCAAAGTGTTGCAAACCTGTAAAAATGTTGGATTGAGCGCAGGAGAACATCAACCTATGTTTAGGAAAACGAAAATGGATATCCCTACAGCTAAAAATTTATTGACATCGTCTTTTGCGGATGACACAGCCATAGTATGCCGTAACAAATGTCAGACCAGAACGTCAAGGATACTAGAGGCTAGCCAACTGGCGAATAAATGTAGATGATTTTATGGTATTCAAAAACAATTGAAAACCACCTGTGCAACGCACATTAATTTAATACAGAAGTTCCAGGCGAAAATTTTTAGAGCAATAACATGTTCGCTCCACAAATGCAATTATTACCAAAGTACAGAGCAGCAACAAAATACCCAAGTCGCTAGCCAGCAGCCCTAATATGCTGGGCTAGGTGAGGAAGATAAAAATAAGTAAAAACACCAGACTATCACAAGATGTCTCTTGATGACCCCCGTCGAACACCTCCATATTTAGACCCTTCTCCAAGCAGTTTCTACTGGGATGATCCGAATTCATCCTTGCAGTCATCTATTTGGAGCGGAACCGCCTACTAGGAACATCAAGCGAACATTCCTACAACACGTTGACGAATTTCAACAATATACCGAAGCAATTGGGGACGAGACTAACTTCAGACGTGTACTGAACGCTATTCACAGTGGAGCAGTGGAGTCGAAACATTATCCATCGCAGACCGTGAACTCGAGTTGCCGCTTAAAATCAAAGTAACTCTTGCGCAACTTCGTTCTGTACACCGGAGGAGGTTAAACTCCTACTTATCCGGAATAGACCATTGCATTCTAAAAATATGCCCTGCATATAAAGAGTCCCCGCATGACAATAACCACCTCTTTGCATGCGCCGCCAAACCCACTCACATAACACCCCTTCTCAGCTCCCTTTGACCCGATCCCGGCAAAACAGTCCGTTTTATGGACTTACCGCTAAGAGATTTTGATGTTGATTTTGCACTCTCCCCTAAACAGAGCTTAGATACTCGCTAAAACACCAACAACCCATTCCTTAAAACAAAAAAAATGTGTTGTACAAGTATGTTATTAAAGTGATTTCTTCAATTTTGTCATTAGGTCCAGAATTGATGTTAGGCGCACCAGAATATGGCTATTTTACGAATATTCGTTTTTGAAGGCTTGAACATTCGGAGGCGTGTGGACATACAAGTACGCAAGAGTATTTTCTCTTCTCATCTCTATTAAAAATTTCTACGCAATTTCCATTTTTTACAGTTGGCACTAAGGCTATGTCACAATTTACCCATGACTACTTGGCAATTAAAGGGAATTATCACCGTAGTCGAGCATTTGTAACTGTAGAGGTCTGGTTTACTTTTGGCTTTGTAGAAATTCTACAGCTAATCAGAATGTTTGTTTTGGCTCAACGTCTTAATTTTGTAAGAAAATAGACCATTGAAGTTTTCTTATACTTAGTAGATTTTTTTTTTTATATCTAAAGTGAGGAAGCCAACAATTATATGTAAAGGAAAAAAGAACCATTGACGTCAAGCAATGCTTCAATAAAATTTATGATCGCACGAGTAAATATAAGAATAAGAATTATTTCATAAAGCAAAGAATAAACAATGCGCAAATAATTTTCTAATTTTCTTCTTGCTTGGAACACCGGTATCAGCTGTCTAGATCGTGAAGACGATTTCTGCAAATAACTTGTAGATACTAAGTAAGGCAACGGTGCTTTTTCATTTGTTATCATAACAATATTTCTTGTTCTAAATTTACAATAGTTTTATCAGACATACGAGTATTGCAAAACGTTTAATTTTTTTTTTGCGATGTGACAGCTGATACTGATATATGGAGTACTTTTTAAAATATTTTATAGATGTTTATTCTCATCACTTCATATTTCATCGGTAAACTCTTTAAAACAGATTATCTTATCTAAATGAATAATTGGTATTAGAATGTTTTGAAGATTAAAGAAAAAAATTATTAAATAAGTGTACATAAACTAGAAAATAGCGAAGTTTTCTGTATTTACTTATATGAGCAAATTTGATGACACTGACCTACACTACATGCATTTCTGGTTGCCCCGTTATCGCCCTCACGAGTTGTTATGTAATTCGTCGATAGTTATACCTCATACCAAGAGATGCCTAGAGAGTTCTAGCTTGTTGGACATCTAATGAATAGCCTATAAAAATATAAATATGGACAAAAAGTTCCATTAACCTTAGAAAACATCAGTGAGGGAAATATCAATATCTTAACGACATATTTTTTAAGGATCTTCAGCTTGACGAACTATTTAAATAAAGTATACGCTAAACTTTAAACTATCGCGGTTCAGAGTAGATTGATTTTCATCAACTATTGAAAATATGTTTGCATTCAGAAATGGCTTAGCCAGATAAATTCAGAAGTGGGGATATGAGTTCAGGAAACGGAGTGACAAGTTAATCCTCGCAATTCGTACGAAACCTTAGACACCTGCTTTCAAGTTCTTTGCATGAACGATTAATTGGCTTTTACGTTTATTTATTTAACAACGAATTATAGTTCGGTTATCTGAGCGATGGTGAACACGTTCGCTGAGTACCTTTTTCGAATTAGTAAATCTATGGTATATTAACGACAGTCGACCTCAAATACATTGTTTATGTAGTGAACTGAGTACATACATTCAGTCCTTTACTTCATCACACCAATATTATCTAATTAGTCAAGGTTTCGTAGTTCTCCAAAGTTTCAATGATCATCATATGAATCCTTCAAGTAGTTTAGTACTTACTGATCTAGAATTTTTACAAATTTAGGAAAGATTACTGGGTGCCGCAGGCTATAAGTGATTTTGACTGAGTTCACAACATCGCGCTAACCACTTCATTATTTCCCAAAATTTTTGTTTGGCACATCACAATAATATTTTCTTTGGATCTGAACATAATTCACACTTCTAGACAGTGTTGCCGTTTTTGTACGATCGAACCAAGAGAAAGAGAGAAGGTAAAGTTAAAAAAAGCAACGAGAAAAAAGTTAAGACTTTTCTTTTAATTCCATCCGCCTGTTTGATGTCTGGCAGATATTAGAGGAAAATGACTTGATAAAAATCATCACCACAAGTGACTAAATAACATTGGCGCCCTAAGATTAGGTTAACCACTTAAAAAATCAACTGCAACTAAATTCGACTTTAGTACAACTTTGAAGAAAGCTGAGTATTTGGTGTAAACTTCCTAACATTCCTCAGCAAATATAAGTAATATGGTATGTTATTGTTAAATATAAAGTTGTTTTTAGAGCGGTAGCAAATACTTTTATTTTTAGCATCGGAAATGTACGGTACAAGTTTCTGGGTATACAAAATATAAAAATACTGAAATACTTATTTAGCACAAACTAATGTACACTTCTATTAACAAAAGCAATAAACAAGGAAGTGATGTAAACATCCCTTTCACTCGGTAAGTTATAATTAAAAAGTGTAAGCAAACAAATATATTTTTTAATACGAAGAACCAGTGCGAAATTTTCCAACGACAGATGCTTTGAATAACAAAAACATATTTACAAATTTTCATAAGCCAGCTTATGCTCTTAAGCCTTTATTTACCTATAAAAATGTAAACGAAAACACTAAACATGCAAATGAAACCCCATGATGCCGTGCGAGTGCGGTCAAATTTGTTTTCCGCTTCGTTTGGCCTTTTTGGCGCGCTGACACAGTTACCTGCATTCCATGGACTCGAAAGAAGTATCAACTAGTGTAAATATTAAATTTTGTTTTACGTTTCCTTTGTTCGGTCAACTTAAAATATTTTCTAATGCTTTTCATGAAACTGATCTGCTTGTATAAACACATAACCGTGTAATAACATACAAATCGGAACACATTTCATACAAGCTATAGCGGTAGCTCGCATCAAGTTTCGCTCTTTCGTTATGCCATTTGAAAGCCGATAGCTGTCACAATCAGCTGACATGCGCTCACTTCTTATGACACGCGTGACATGCATGAGAGCACACAAATGCGCATACAAATGTACAGTAAAGTGCAAGAGCTTGAAAGCTGTAGCGTGTTATTATATGAATGAGTTGTCACAGTATCTCGATTGAACTGTCAATCACAGCAATGTGTTTCATAAGCGTGTGAAATGACAGAAAGCATACCCGTCTTATGATTGTATACCAGATTGTCATATACAATTTAAGAGAAAAAATTTTGAAATGTTTTATATAAAAAGTTAGGCATTCAGAAATAAACAAAATTGGACGAACGAGCAGTTTATCAACACGGACCAGCCACCGATAGGCTTTTTCTTCGAAGAAATATCTACTTTCTGATAGTATAAAAATAAATACATTACTATGGCAAATATTCTCAAAAAATGTTGAAAAAACCTCAGTAAAACGCTGCGCTCCGAAATAACAGAAAACCCACCGACTTTATTAAAAAATCTGATATTTTAATGTAAGAATTTTCGATTGAAAAATAGAAACGTTTTCCGATATCAAAAATGAAAGGACAAACTAAATATTTTAAATAAAAAGATTACAGTACATAAAAAAGTTCATTCAGAAGATAAAAATAAAAAACTAAAACATTGGTTATTTAAATTTTTTACATAAATTTTGAGGTTAGTTGTGAGAAAGTAAAGTTGTATCTTTCTATTACCAATGACTTGGCATATAACTTTTTTCCATGGGAATCGTAATTTTGCCCGAAATCGAGATAAACCGATTTTAACCCTTTAAAATTCAACCACCACCACTTCCTTTTCCCTACATCAAATCACCCGCTTGCAAAAATTATCTAACCTGATCTACAAAGAACATATCACTCCAAAGTTTAACACTGTAACTCACACCTTCTGCGAGGAAAATAATTTGCATGCGGATTTATTGTACCTTACATAGCCTAAACACACACACACCCGTATCTCAAACAAGTGTCAAAGAACTACCGTTTAAATATAGTGAGTCCACAGAAGCGTATGATATGTATCAGAGGATGTTGCGTAACGTCGAGTGTTCGGTGAATGTCAAGCGCATGCACCCAACTGTAAATTTCTGTGCATCAGACATGTGGCAATACATATATACATATGTATATAGTAAAGTATGAACATATGTACATATGGACCTATCTAAAACTGTTACTATTAAGATGATAGACACAAGTGCTAATGCGGACAATTGAACTATTTCCTGAGCGCCCATGACAGTGGTGGGTTTTAAAAATTGTAAAAAAAAAAAAAAAAAATAGACGCATGAGCAATATACATATGTACTTGTGTATGTACATTGTTTTGTATCGTATAAAGAAAAATTGCAACTACATTGAATAAAAATTGTTTCTAAATGGTATTAACATTTACTTATATTTCGATAACTCGATAACTCACTGTATCAACTTATCATTAAAATTAAGCACACTTTCCAGGGGGAAAGTAAAATCTGATGACAAAAGGATCGAACAGTTGTGATTACCTTTTGCAAAGCATTGCCCCTGTTGTATGACATTAGAGATTGGCACCCATGAACTATATTTAGCGTAGTCAGATGCATGGACAGCATGACTAGGGCACTAAGGAGGATGCGGTATAAAGTCAGCTGGATGTTCTATTAGGTATATGAGGACTAAGGGAATTATTAATCAGAGTCAACCTATTTTTGGCACATGGACGTATTAATATCAGATTAAGATTCTCTCTGAGTTTCTATAATACATCTCACAGATTGACCGATATTTTCGATAAAAATTTCGCAATAGAAACTGGGGTCCACATATTCGGTACCAGCGGGCTTGTACAGTTTTGATCCGATTTAAATAATTTTTGGTCACACTACAAAGACAGTATTCGTGCAAAGTATTATCCCGATACATCCATTAATGGTTCATTTGTATATTCAAAATTGAAAGAATCAGTTGGAATTTAAAATTATTTTATATAGAATGCCATAATAAGAATGCCAAAAGGTCCATATATTTTATTCGGTACCTGGAGCTTGAACACGTTTGGTTCGATTCGGATAATTTTCGGTCATTAGGTGGCACACTTTAGAGACACTGTTCATGCAAAGTTTTATTCCGACATATTAATTGAAGAAATATATGAAAAGTAGGTGTGGTTGTAGTCCGACATCGTCCATTTTCACACTGGGATATAAGAATGTTAGAATACTGCTACCCATCGAATTTGGTTGAAATTGCTAGGACAGGCCCCGAGATATGGGTTTTCGCCTAAAAGTGGGCGGTGACACACGTACTGTCTAATTTTGAACGGGGTTTCTATAAAGCCCTACCATCCCAGAAATACAATTTAATGTCTCTGGCGTGTATAGTGCTTGATTTATCGCGCTTTTAGTAGTAGAGCGGGGTTATCATCCAATTGGGAATTTGTTTATTTGTAGCCCATCTGCAATACAAACCGTCTTACGGTACCAAGAAACATGTGTACAAAGTTTTATAAGTATATCTCAATTTTTACTCAAGTTACAGCTTGCACGGACGGTCAGACGGACAGACAGATATCCGGAGTTCAACTCGCCTTGCCATTTAGGTGATACAAACAACCGTTAGGTGAACAAAACTAATATACTTTATAGCAACATGTTGCAAGAGTATAAA